TCAGATTTTTCCAAAAACTTTTTCATCTTTACCTTCGTATCGGACATCAAACTTGAATATAAATTAACTCGGGGTCTAAATGACCGCACTACAATGTTATCTCGCCCGAAACCGATTGATAGAACATGAAGGGTTGGGCAACAAATAGCCCTGGGTTAACTCGAGTGGCGGTAGGAAATACCCCAGCATTCGAAGGGTTAAGAGCTCTCACCGGCCCTTGAGGGTTAAAACGACTACGTACGTTATATTGGAATGTGTAGTGAATTTATCAGTAATTCGTTTATTGGAAGTACGACTTGTAACCCTACGGTCTTAGGTTCGAAGCTTAGGACGGGCAAAATTTAAGTTAGAATTTTTTACTAAATATGCGTCAAAAGCAACTGTTTTAAATACATAGTATCTAGTAAACAAAGTAATACTTATTATTTTATATATTTCACTATAACAACAACAATGCTAACACTGAACTAATGATAAAGTCTAGCATTTCATACCGAGTTTAATAAAAAAGATTTTGTAACCGCAGATTTTTTGTTTTTTTTCTTGTAGTGCATAAATATCTATCAATTTTTTTTTGCTTCTTTATATTTGTGCATGTTAGTTTTTAGATCTCCATGTTGTTTGGTTTTTTTATGGAAACATTTCAAGAATACTGAATCACTACACAATGTTTGGGAAAATTCTATCAGAAAAATGGAAAAATAACCCTAATGGATACTAACAAAAAGAACTAAATAAAAATGAAAACTATCTATTTTAGCAAAGAATCAATGTGGTAATTGATAATTTTCTGATAAAATTTTCTCGGAAACACAGGACACTTTTTAGAAAATCAGCAGGAAATTCTTCAGCGACATTGACACGGGTACGTACTGTTTACATTAACATATCAAATAATATCAACTAACATACAAAATGCTGTACCAGTTTTCAATAGAACCATATTCTTTTTAAAAATCAACATATTGGCAGTTTCGCGAGTCCAGTAAATCAAAATCAACACAATGGATCCTTCAAGGGGCAAGAGGGCCTTATCTTCTTCAGAAATGATTTTGTAAATGGGATGGACGTTATTTGGTACTCGTCTTAATAGTATTTTCACGAATGTTTATTTAAATGGCAGTAAATAGCTAATGCTGAAGACCTGCTCTGGAAACAAAAAAAAACATTCAATAAAATTTTTAGCATTCGGCTAGTAAAAACATTGATAATTTGTATTTAAAAAAAATAGGGTAATTGCATAACAGATGATGTTTTTTTGCTTTTTAACAGCCTGTGACGTTTTTCTATCATTTTAAAAAGTTACTCTAACGGTATTTTTCAAAATTGTTATGTTATATAACTAAGGCACTACAAATTATGTCATAAGCATCCACTATACCCTTATTTACTGCTAACATACATAAGTACGAACACTTCAAAACAACAATAAGTTGACCGCTACCTACATGTCGCGGAAGAGAGACTGTAATGGCAAAAATCAGCATGCTTTTTAACCGCGATTTTTTCTTATCATTTGTAAAGTTTAATTGCAGATTAGTTATCATTACACTTTTAATCTTTTCAGCTAATTCTTTCAGCTTTCAGACTTTCCATTTAGATACATTGTATGCACCAATCTGCTATTAAACTTTAAAATCTAACATAAGGATGACGTCTGACGTACGAGTCGCAGTCTAGAGACCGCGATCACGTTGGACGATTAAAAGCGCGACTATAAGTCCCCAGCGACTAGCGGTCAGCTTGCATTCTCGCCTGACTACTTCAACTTATTATTAATGTATAATATTAATGATCTTTCATGCACATATAAGACTAATGACAAACACACTCTGAAAAAATATTGATTTATTAAAATTTTACATTTTGTATATCGTTTTGATCACGGAACAAACAGACAGTATATCAAAAAACACAGACACATTAATTGTCTCAACCACGATATACAAAGCGATTTTTTTTCAAACTTTCAAAAAAAGAATCTTTTATTTTTTATGTTTTTTTTTTGTAGCTTTTTTTCTGTAATAAAATTGGCATGCACCGTTAACGCTACGCGTGGTGACCATAGATAACGTTTTGTTGAGTTTTTTTTTTGAGAAAGAAATAAAGAGTGTGTTCGTCTTTATATGTGCAGGGAAGTCAATGGTGTGGGATGTCGGTGGGCTACTGCGGACACGTCCCATTACCACGGTGAGTCTTAGATATAGACTTTATTTTTATTTAGCTTTAAGTTTAGTTTGCGTTGCATGCTCGAGAAATGCGGTGTTGTTATAATTTTGAAGCAACGATAGAGAACACAAAAATGTCATGTTTTAGAATCGACAGAAAATCGCTGAAGACAAATCCTCCGATAGTGCTTAGACCCAAATGTCGGCTTGGCACCCCATGGCGTTCAAAGTGACAATGACGCTATCTTAATTAGGTTTTTGGTTGCCTTCTTGTCCATGTAGCGGAATAAGCTTTAAACTCAGTACTACCAAATGGTGAAACAACAATATTATGGGGCATTTGCAATCATATTGCCCATAATACTTTTGACTTATCAATTTTGGTTCAGTTTGTACTCCGTTACATCATATCCCTGGCAATGATTGGAAGAGCTGAAGATCAAGCTCAGTGATGAGATTTAAGAGGTCTTTGTCCAGCAATAGAGGTGTATAATTATGGTAACAAAGAAGCAATGCATCAAATATTTCTAAACAATTTGTAGCCCTCAAAAATAGCTCGATAATTTGAGTCCTCGATAAGTCTACACGGAACGACACGTGGTACTACAATATGCATGGTACAATGCATGCGACACTACGTATCAGTGCCACAAACAGATATTAATACAGAAGTATCAGTAATAACTGCAACATTAGAAGAGAATCCCATAAGATCCTCGCTTGGCAGTTTGAAAAGTCCAGAGTTTGTTTTCGTTCATCGAGATCGAATTGCCGCGTCCAGCGCGCTGGTTGGCCTTTTTTTTTCGATGACGAGGGGAAATCTTCAAAAGGCGCCTAGCCTTTTTGGGGATAAAAGACTAGGGAGTGTGGGGTTTTTACCTCACTAAAACCACCCCGGTGGCCACCCTCAACACCTGTATGGAGGTACCGGGTGCTCTAAGAGACCTGCTCCAGAGCCTCCACGGCAATACCTGTTATGACACATCCCTAGGGAGACGGGTGTCTCCTTTTAGCCTTGCTATGTACGGCGGCACGTGACCACTGTACCGCCGTCTTCCCGGAGACCACAGAGTATCTATGCACTCTATGCACCCCAAAGGTCCGCCTGAAGTTGGCTTCAATGAACCAACCGATCAGAGCGCCGCGATATCGTTTCAATCTCGTTAAATGTAAAACTAACTAGTCATAAGCCCACAGGGCTATGAGAGATCAATGTTGTCCGGTCTTTGTTATTTGTTCAGGAGTCATCAAATGACTCCTACTATCCTGGGTGAGGCGGGAAGGAGTATCAGTTTTATTTTTAAGGGGGGAAAAATTATCGATTGCCTGATCCCGCCTGGGTGAGGCGGGAGGGAGTGTCAGACTCTTACTAACTAAAAACCACCCGTTCCTACTCCTGCACTTCGAGCCGGAGCACCGGTAACCTGTTAATTTCTCCGCAGCAGTATCAGAGTCTTACTGACTAAAACCACCCTGTTCTAACACCTGCTGCCTCCTGGGCTTGTACTCATTATAGCGACCTAACCGCAACCTCTGCAAAGAATGTTTAGAGCCTTAATCGGCTTTAACGACACCTACGGGAAAATTTGGAGTAGTGACCATTATAATTATCACATCACATCAACAGCCGCCACGTAAAAGTGGCCACTGCTGACCAAAGGACAGTTCTCACACGGAGAAGGTTCGAGCATTAATCGCTTGTTCACTGCGGGTTGGCGATTTCAAACTTCACAATGTTTTTCCTTCACCGTTTGTCAGTGGTGTCTAAATAATCTTAGAAAGTACGTATACCTCGGAAAAAGTCACATTAGTACTTCTTGCCGTTGGCTAGTTTCGAACCTCATGCATGAGAAGCGGACGTCTTAAAAACCTCCGGGCCACCACGACTTTTGTGATTGCTTTAATTATGCAGATTAGATTAAATATTTCACTGGACTGAACCCCATCATCAGCATTTTCTTTCCACTTCACCTTCTCCATTACCTGTCCGCCAACCGAAGGTCGCGTCCAAACATAGACAGTATTGATTGCTAGTAGAGTGAATTAGTTATTACTTGCCACTGGACTAGCTACTTGCCTAATGGAGCGACGTCGGTTTGCACGAGCGTTGTCCGGACAAGCGGTAGCATATATTCACTATAAAACGCACTATGTACCTGCCATCTGGAAAATTGACCAGCTCGTCTGGAAGTCTTCTTGTGGTGTCACTGTTGATGTAGAGGTCGCTCGTGAAATTTTAAGTGAGTTTTGACCTTGTCTGACCTTCTGATTTTGTTTTTTGTTTCACGTTTTCTTATTGGCGTCTTTGTTAATTTCGTTTGTGTTGTGGTTGTTGTATCTGTAAATGTAAGTTTTTCTATGTCTGTTAAACATTATCATCTTGATTATCTAAATGTTAATGGGTATTTTCGATTAATGACGATTCTTAAAGACTTTATTGCTCCTTGAAGTTATTTTTCATGTTCTTTGACCCATAGTGTAACCTTTTTTTTAAAAGAAGTTCATGATTTTATAACGAGACAAATTTAGCCTAGCTGTCTCTGATTTGGATTTTCAAGGTAAATTTTATATTCTTATTAAAAAGCGACTTTGAGAAGCAACTTCGAAGCATGGCAAGGTGCACCACAAACATCAGTATGTCACACTTTAATTTATTATTTTGACAGACTTTTCTTTATTTTGGTTTCGGTAGATCAGTTAGCTTTCAGATGCAGATAAACAGGACAAATATATCTGTGTAAAGAAAATTTCAGCAAGACTGGCCTTCTACAGCCCTTGAAATCTTCGTAATGGTAATCAATATATTTATCCTATATTCTCCATTGTCCACAGTATCGGAGGATGTGCCGCCAGTACAGAGAAGTGCTCCCCTGCTGCAGTCCCCACAATACACCGGTGGAAGGCCACAACCTTACAGTAAGTACCCCTTTTTAAATCCTTGTTTGATGTCTTGGGTGTCCATGGGCGGTGTTGATCGCTTACCATCAGGTGATCTGTTTGCTCGTTTGCCGTCCTATTCCATAAACCATTTTATGGTTTCACCATCAGCTCACGAGGGCGTGAGTTGAAGCACCCGTCGAAACTTCCTGTCATGAGTGTCATGTCATTAAGACGTGGTATCTTTATGTTTATTCCAAAGTTTTTGAATAATTTGGTATTATTGTGTGCGTTTTTGGGTCGCAAAGGTAAGTTATTATTTGTCCAAGTTTATGAGTTTTTGTACAGTTTTATTATCTACTTTATCATCATATTACAGCTTATCTACATCTACAGAAACTTCTTTTTTGATACAAACTTCATTATTTCGCTCAACACGAATTCTAACCATAACAGACTTACCAACTACTCTGTGTGAGTAGATAGACACACACATACGAACAACTTTCGGCTCTGTCCAACTAGTTTCCAACTCAACCGTAGCGTTAATCAAGAGCTTTTCAACCGACAAACTGTCGAAATAATCCCCGATAATGTTCGTGTGAACAGAGCTATGTAAAATTTTAATGCATCTGTCTGTCTGGCTTGTAACTTGTTGGGGAATTCGACAAACAGTGGTTAAAAGATGGCAGTTTTTTGATTAAATTATTTCTTCGACAGATGTGTTCATTGCGTATCTTATGGCAAATATGATAATAGGCATAATTTTAGATGTTAGTTAAAATCGAAAAAAGGGCGTCCTACAATTTTTAAATCCATGCCTCATACTTAGACTACATACACATCAGTTTTTATCTTAATAACCTCTTTTAATCTACGCAGCGGCTAATAAACAACAAAAATAAAAAACATAATAACCGAAATGCAACTACTAGAATGTTCCAAAGAAATATAAACTTTATATTCATTGCTTCGCTTTAAATGTGCACTGAAAATCGTATGCACCGAAAACTTTTGCTCAAACTATTTACCAGAAATTCAGTTGGACTGAACCGGGTCATGAAAAGTTCGGAATCGTCTAAACTTCTGACTAGATTGTCACAGTTCCCAAAATGTTCACAACCAACGAGACTTTGCGGAAAGTGACGGTTTTAAAATGAACTCCTAGCTTAAAAATGTACGGTTAAAGCTAGAAATATAACTGGGGGAAGTATTCTACTAATGATTATTTTGCGACCTCCAACGCCATCTATGGTTTTTAAAGAATGGACACAGAAACCTTACTTAAAAATACGCATAAAAATCAATTCAGCCATTTTTGAATTCATCGCGAGCTTAATTTATTTTGTAAGGAGAGTTTGACTATTTGCCATAAAACAATATCTATTTTCTTTGACGTCCAATGCCTTAAAATTATTTTCTTTTTTTGTGCGTCTTAACCGCGCAATTAGCTTATGATTATGAACCCTTTTATGTCTTGAGACTAATCGAACATCCTCAAAAACTTACGTAGGTAAGACATATATTCTAATTTGTTTATCCTTGACCTTATGTAAGATAGGATTGCTATTTTAGTCGTCAAACATTCAACAATGAATCCTGAACGTTGCTCAATCAAAGTTTGTTCCATTCCACAAAACTAAGGTTGTGTTTATATTGCTAGCGATGAAGCGGTGAGCGAAAGCGATTAGCTGAATAATGTGATAGAAAGCAAACGAAAATATGTAGAATGTGAACCTATTTCATCAGGTTCCATTTGATAGTATAAGATGCAATCCAAAATATGATTTGTCAAAATAAATCATTAAAGGGCTTACATTCGTCCTTTAGCACGCTACTGAGCTCGATCCTCAATTCTTACTGCTATCTCCTACTGCTAGCCACTTTTTCTACTTAGCTGAGGACTAGTATATCAAACGCCAAATTTAATAACCGATTTTAATACGACAGCATTTCCATCATATAGATGTTTGGCAGGCCACAACTGCGCGCTTTTCTCGGACTTTTCTGCTCGCACAACAAAACTGTGGACTGATCTGTCGTCGACGGTATCTCCGAACCCATACGACCTTCATACCTTCAAGAAAAGAGTGTATTCCTTTTCAAAAGGCCGGCATCGCATCAGTGACTCCTCTGGTGTTGTGGGTGTCCATGGACGGCACTGATCGCTTACCATCAGGTGATCCGTCAGCTACTGTACTAAATCTTTGGATCCATCTCAGCTTTTGACAAAAACTCAATAAAACTTATGTAAACATTTTTTTTTTGTATCGAAACCGATTATTAAATTTGACCATAAATCGCTCGCTAGCGCTTTCTCTATGACCCTAGTCTAAAGAGCTCAGTAATCCAACTGTTCAGAAAGTGCCCAAACCCGTCGATGCTCAGAATTGGAGTTTAAGACTGGTATACCCAACTCTAAAACTTTAAACCGGCTGCTATTGGCAGGAACAATAGAGAAATGAATGAGTTTTCTGACAAAATGTTTTATTACAACGCGTACTGCTTCATTGGTCTAGTGGTCGTCAATGGTACTAGCGAGCTGAAGTGTCACATTCGAATACAAAGTCAGGAAATCTTTTGTAACATAACATCACGCCTTTTAACCCCGATGGGGAGGCAGAAGTGCACATTATACCACTGTACAATGTAACACTCACTTTTCACTATTTATATTATGAGTCCCATGTAATAGGGGGTGAGCCTATTGCCATATACCGGGCACAATTATAGACTCCGTGCTATAAATAATAAACTGAGGATATAAAACCCAGTAATACTTTGCTCGACCTGGGAATCGAACCCTAAACCTGAATCGAAGGGATCTCCCCTTGCCCGGCAGTCGCACTTACGACCACTCGGCCAACGAGGCAGTCAAATTTTATAAATTTCGAAAATTGCATTACCTTTCATCAACAGCGAATGACAGATACTCCACTTCTATACTATGAGCCTTCTCTACATGAGAAGGGTTTACCAAAATCACCAGGCAGATAGGGTTGTAGGTAGATTGTAGTCGAAGAGACTGCACATTTTACTACACTGGCTCTTACGAAACCCATGAGAAGATTATCTCATGTCATTATATTCTGACGTCACTAAACCGCAAGCCACGTAAAGCATATTTTGATAATTAGTACTAGATGTCCCGGCAAACTACCGCCTCTAATTTTTTTCTCACCTTCTAAACCTTCCACGAACATTTCAAGACCAAAATTAGCCAAATCGGTTCAGCTTCCCTTCCCCAATCTCCCTCTGAATCCCCAACGATCCTCAAAGACTCGTAATCCCCAAAAAGCCGGTAACGCACTTTTATCGCCTCTGGTGTTCCAGGTGTCCATGGGCGACGCCGTTTGCTTACCATCAGGTGATCTGTCTGATCGTTTACCAGCTTATGCCATAAAAAAGCTGTATCTCGAGTTTAAGCGAGACTAATAAACGGAAATATTTTTTTTTTCATATATACATTCTAGATTCATGACATAGTACGAAAATGTTCTGACTGTTCAGTATCTGCTTCACACATATTTATACGTTTATATAAACTGTCACCGCCGACAAAAGAAAACAGAACGTTACTGAAAATGCATGAAAAATATGTTCGCAACGTATCGCCGTAAATTTTCATGCAAACGAAAGTGCTGAAATTGTAAAATTTACTGTTGCACACCTATCTTAATGTATGCATCTCTTTGGTCGCGGGATCGTGTTGGAAATTTGTGGACTAGGAAATTCTTTGCCTTGGACAAATATAGTAGAAATAATCAGTTACATAACATACGTAATATCACGCCTTTGACCCCCGAAGGGGTAGGCAGAGTTGTTGAGTGCCACGGTACAATATAACACCCACTTTTCACTATTTATGTTATGAGTCCCATGTAGTAGGGGGTAAGCCTATTGCCACATACCGGGCACAATTCCAGACTAAGGACCAAGGGGAGGCTTTTATCCAGCAGTGAACGTCTTTCGGCTGTTGGTGATGATGATGATGATTTCCAGAATCCTCTACAATCAGTACTACTAGACATTTTTGTAAAAAACCCAGTAATACTTTATATCTGTAAAATTATATAAACTGTTTTTTGGAATACCTACAGTAATGAATGGCGTTTCTTGCTCGTTCTCCACCATTCCAAACTACACTTTGGAACGAGCAATCAGCTTCATTGACAGACGGACGGACTATTCAATTTTGATCTTCAAAAAGTGCCTAATAGGGTAGATGCCTAAATTTTATTTTAATGTCCGTTTGGTAGATTATTTTAAAACATTAGACACGTATTTTTTCTTTTGTAACAAAATTATACACTTTCGACGATATAATAATCTAAAATATCGTGTGACGCCACAATGCGCTACATTTTGTAGCACTTATTGATGTAACGACCTCCCACTCCTAAACTTAACTCCATTTTATCTATGTATTGTAACTTTTTAAGAAAAAAATAAAAAAATACGTGTCTAATATTTTTTCAATATTTAACTGACGGAAAATTAGATTTTTAATTTTGATATCCTGGCAATTACTCTATTAGGAATTAATTGAAATGTATGCTTTGACTTTGATATAGTCCTGATCATATAGTTAAACTATGATGTAATCATCTCTTGTCACTGTATTTTTCTACTATTAATGCCTTTTTGGTCAACTGGTCATAAGCAAATTCGCCAGGCGATCGGTCTCAGTTACGATTCTCGAGTGAAAATTGGCATTTTTTTCACTTTTCCGGTAATAGCATTGATTCTCGAATGGTGCCTCGTACAAGTGAATCTTCATCTACAAGTGAAATATCGTAAATTTCTTGTTTATTAAATTATCTCTCGAAATTGTAAAATTTCATACATAAATAATACAATGTACCTACGTTACAGAATGGTTCTCTCAGTTTGTATATACGCGGAAATTGTTTTAAACGATTCATGAATGGCTCTCAAACCGGCCCTGGATGGGAAATTGAATAAAATCTACTATTTCAGCTTAAATTGTATCTGTATTTTGTATTTTAATTACGTTTATGTTTACCTTTATTTTTATTTATGCTATTGCTGTTGTTTACACAGCAGGTACTATTTTGCACACTTCATCAATCCATCACTTGGTTAAATAGAATAAGGGCCTGTTTCACGATATCTGGATAGCCGTTATCTACCAGATACATTCGAATTACATACATAATTTGTATGAACTATCTGTTACATAAGTTTATCAGGTATTGGTGGTGAAACTAGAGCTAAGTGTATCAAAATCGTGTCATTATCCCAAATAGAGACAGGCGGCATGATATATATATGTGTGTGTACGTAAAAAAAATAAAATCTGCAAATACATACAGCGTAAACTAGAACTTAAAAACGAACACAATAAAAAAGGAGGTCGTCATTTAAAAAGCGAGAGAGTGAAAAGCGTCCGTCTCCGTTGAAATCCGGCGGCAGAATGGGCTATACCGTCGGGAATTGCAATAACCGCCAGGGTTGCAAGACGATAAAATTTCAATGCCGATGTGTTGCTAGCCGTACCGGTGCATGTAACTGTTATATGTGATATTGTAGTGTTCTGAAAATTAGATTATATTGTTAGTTTGTTTTAGTGTTTTTGCTAATGATTTAAAATTATATTATGTTAAGGAAGTAGATAGCAAATTGACTGCACAACAAAGAGTTTTATTTTTAATTTGAATACAGTTTTTTTGACATTTTTGTGTAGCAAGTAAACTATAATTGTGGCCTATAGATGTAAGTGTTTAAGACAACACACCGACAACAACACTGACTGACAGACTATTATTTATTTTGTATTTGTTGACGTTTCAAAAGTACCAAAATATGGTTTAATTGAAATAAATGCTTTGACTTTGATTTTGACGCTCACTTTCTTTTACATTTAATATATATACCATAACTGGCAACAAAAAAGGCTCAATTACTCCATCACTGATACTTGTATAACACCATCGACAAAGCCCCATAAAACAACACCTACAAAAGAAGTCAGTTACCCATTCACCTAAATCCACGTGTCAACCCTAATGAACAATAAACTCCTTTGTACAACACTTTAATTATTAATTTCGAGCCCAGAATACAAAGTGGAAAGTGCACACAAAATCGATTCGTTGTACGTGACACCCCTGGCGTCGTGTGACGTACGCCCGGTGTTGCCAGCTCTAAATAATTCATAAACCAAGCTCGTTCGTCGCGTGCCCCTCAATGATTTTCTTGCGTATATAGAATGCTGTGAGATAAGTCTACGTGTAGTATATCTGTGCCTTAGTGATTCTGGTTAAAGTGTTTCTTTTTTATTTATGTGTAGTCTGCCAGGCTTCGTCTGTGGTGCCAGGTTAAACAGTCGCCTGTATGTTATTATTCTAGACATTCTGCCTATTCTGGACCACAATCTATCTCTGAACCAAAAATTTCATTCGGTCCGTCCGTTCAGTAGTTTTTGCGTGTCCATACATCACATCACATCACATCAACAGCCTATAACTGGCTACTGCTGACCAAAGGTCTCTTCTCACACGGAGAAGGTTTGAGCATTAATCACCACGCTTGCTCAATGCGGGTTGCTGATTTCAAACTTTTAATTAGAAATTATAAGCCCAGGTTTCCTCACGATGTTTTCTTTCACCGTTTGTCAGTGGTGTCTAGATAATCTTAGAATGTATATATAACTCGGAAAAAGTCATATTGGTACTTGCTGTTGGTTGGTAGGTTTCGAACTCGCACCCTCATGCATGAGAAGCGGGCGTCTTAGACCTCCGGGCCACATGACGATATGTCCATACATACATTTTGTTAATAGTAGTATGTATAATAGATACATAGGATATAACAAAATTCCCAACCAAATGTGCATGGTTAAGTAGCTAAGGAACTGCTATACAAATTTTGATGCAGTGTTCAGAGGAGGTAGGGACTCTTATGAAAGGTTTAGTACCTCCCCCAATAACGTTGATTATCGTAAATTCTAAAAGAAGCATAAATTAACATCTGCCTATCACCTGTCCAGTAAAAAGGACACCATTTTGTAACACGATTCCTGTTTGTAAATAAACAATTCAAGACAGAAGAAAATCTCAGTGCTCATGTAATATTCATTCATTGTTTGTCGTGTTTTTGTCTAACAAATAGACAGATATCGGTGATCGTTTTTGAGTTAACTTCACTATTTTCATATGTTCGGTTCCAGACTCTGTCCTATTGTTTCATAGTATTTTTGAACATTCAACCATACTTTTCTCTACAATATTGTCTATATAAAATTAAGTGTTTATTTTTGGTGTTTTTGTATATCTCATTATCAGCGTCCAGTGCTGAACAGATACTCTATTATCCCGCCACTAAGTTCTATGCTTAGCTCTTCGTATCCAACCCCAACCAGCCACTTTGCTTATATCGTCAGTCCACGTAGTTGGAGGGTGCTCTACACTACGTTTTCTTAGACGTGGTCTCCAGTGTAGAACACGTTTACCCCAACGGTCATTTGTTCTCCGATTTTGTAGACAACTTTCTCATTGATGAGCCACGAATCGGCACGAATAAGCCAGCTCGACTGCAATCCAAGACCGGCAATGCACTTGCGCCTCCTTTAGTATTGCAGGTTTCCATAACCAGCGTCGATTCCTTACAATCATATGATCCGTCTACTCTTATCTCATTAAAAATGTGGAACAAAGACACGGAAAATTCTAGTGTAGATAACAGTTGCACAGACCGTAACACCTGCTTGTGTAGCGTTTAAAAATTGATGCGTGAACTCTCCCTACTTCGCCCTAAACTCAACCCGGTAACCCCCTAAATCCAGGTAGAGAGCTCATGTTATATATATGTTATATGATAATATTTAGGAAAGAAAAACTGTTTTAATAGGGTTTAAATAATGGAAATAGTATGCATTTTTAGATTGTTTGTTTCCAAATTCACAACTCCCAACGATCATTTTTAATACTTAGAATTTTCTCAAATATAAGTATTATTACAAAACAAAACGATATGACGATGTGCCGATTTTATTTTTCGCACATCGTTTGAAATGAAATGATTTGCATTTAGTTTCCATTGTACGAATTGCGTTTTAATTACAAATTCCAAATGTTCCATTTGTCGTTTGTGCTACGAAAATTAATATTACACCGTAACACGGATTAACATTACAATATTACATTATGAACAGAACACATTCACAATACCATCATATATAAGCTACAAACACAAAATTGACATTAGCGTAAACATAAATATATAACTATATTACACTCTGGTTATAACCACGCGTAAAATGTATGCTTTTAAACAATTACGCGCATAATGGCGCCCCTTAAAATGTTTATTGATATCCATTATTGGGTTTAATGTGATATAAAATGCGTTAAAAGTTGTATTGAAACGTTTTTCAACCGTCGGATTTATTTAGAGCAAAGTTTTTAAAGCTTAAATGCGATATTTTGCGCGGGGTTATGGACATTGAGTGGTCGATTGGTGCTGCCTTTTTTACTTGTTTTTTTTGTATATTGCTTATTGGCTATTGGTGCTTCGGTATACCTAATGACACAATCACAGACGTCTTATAGACGTGGTACACTATCAATCAAAATTAATGACCGATCTTAATATCGTTTCTGACAGAAGAAGATCTTTACCTATCAATTTCGATTGTAAAAGTATCGATTATGTTACCAACGCTATTATTTCTCTAAATGCACAATTTACTGAACAGAACTGATATTTAGCAGTTTTCCCGTCATCACAATCACTTAATCAAGATATTCAAGCACACAACAACTCAGTGACATTAAAGACAAAGAACATATGTAAGCATCGAATGTACGAGAAAGGAAGGTTGGATTTATTAAGTGGCATATCAACAGATGCTTCAGCCTCATCACAGCCGACCAGAGCCTGTTCCGAAGACTCCTGCAGTCAGCATAGCCAACATTCGTGTGAACAGTCGCAAAACGGTGTGTATAGATATAATGGACTTGCCCTATTTCAATGTGTTAACTTTCCTCTTGTAACTCACACCAAAATTGTGATGTGGATGGTCTAGCTTACTCGCTCACGACGATCGTATTGAAAGCGTATTTTTACGATATGTAAAAAATACAGGCTATATTTGTATTGTAACTTTCGTATTACGTATACAGGCTATTTTGTAACTTCAAAATAGCAATCATTTAATGAGGATACCGTATCGCTGCTCATTAGATAGCGCTTATATTTCGTCTGGTCTTATTTGTTCAGTCACTGACTGCCAAATACTAATAAAATTGTCCAATAGTTTGGAGTAGGAATTTTTGTATTGGACAATAGTTTGGGTAGGAATTTTTGTATTGAACAAAAAAGACCTCGTGTTATATTAACATCGTCTAGTGATAAGTCCTCAATAGTGAAGATAACCACCGTCTTTAGTGAAACATAGTCCACATGGAAACGAATGAGCAAGAAACAAAACAACAATGATCGTCGTATACGACACGCTTATTATATTCTCACCTAACAATACGCTTACAATACGCGTCGTGTGCGAAGAAGCTACGTGTGTCTAGATTCTAGAAACCCGCATGGTGTTTTAAATAGATTCCAAGTTCGATATGGACATTTGGATGGGAATATTTAGGATTTAAAGTTATGTGAATGCTTTGACAAAATATTCTGTTTTCTACCTCTCGTGTTATGATTTGAGGTTAGCATCTTACTACGACATTTACTGGTTTGTCAGTCTATAACTTTCTTATTACTGGGAAGTATCTCATTTAACCAGTAGGTTAAAAACCTTTTCTAATATGGAGAAGGAATTAGAATCACATGCACAAACCACTATTAAATTATACCTTTTGAGAGGCCCGCTGTCAGATTTTTTAGGTATCTGATTAGCTTTGTCTGATTTCTTTGACCGATGGGTTAATATACTTAATACTGTTCAAAGCACAGCTTTACACAGTTAAGTACAATCAAATTTTCAGAGTCTGGTTACACTTGCACTCTTTACCCGATCCGGGAACAAGTTGCATAGCAATTGAAGTGCGTGTAATGAAATGAAATCTCGATATTGAAGGTTATCGTGGAAATAAATAGATAGTAATAACGAATGAAACTGAGAGAATATTAGTCGAAGCATTTTGAGCAATTTCGTCTCGAGTTGCGAGCATGATTTTAAGCATTACTGTTCACTAAGACCAAATAACCAACCTATGTGTAACAATATATATAATGAACAAACTTATTTAAAGACTATTCTTTGGGTTTACATTTAAAATTTGGAAATATTTGCTCTTAAAAGAAAGGCTGCGTTGATTTTCAATTTTACGCCTTCCAAGTCTTTAAATACGATTGTGTTTTCTAGTCCTAGTGTTGTGGTTATATCGTTATTGCAATTTTTGTCTTATTGTCACATGATTGTAACCTGTAGACTTATTTTGTGGGGCTGTTACGTCACTAACCATAACTTGGAACCCGAATTTTTACTTTACAATATTTACAACATGAATTTCACATAGACTGTTTTCCCTTGATCAAATAATTTTGTCTTGGACTACCAGTTCTATTCTACTAAGAATAGAACTATTTTAAAACTATTTCGAAATCGACTTTAAAACAATAGTAATACTGGTCATGAGGTCACTGCACTCGTGGTCATGAATCAGCTGACATCGTGCGTAAGTTTAATGTCAAACACTACTCATACGAATTATTCTAGTTTGTACTTCTACCAAGGGCTAATCATTTTGCCGTGGAAAAGCTATTATTTATTATTCATACTCTGTTCTTTACATATTTAAGAATTCATTACAATTTCACTTGTGTTAAAATCATGATGATTGAGTCTGAAAACATTCAGTTTTCATTACTATGCAGATACCTTATTCAATTGAATATGTCAAGACGTGAAGACATACATTTTTATTGTCATTCATTTATACTTATACAATTAACTCTGTTAAAAAATATCAACAAAATTATCATTATAATTATAGTTATAATATGTGTAATATATTAAATAGACTATACAAATAAACATTATAGACTTATTTTTAATTATGTTTTACCAAACACTATAAATACATTATATATTATTACATGCCTATGAAATACATAATACCTCTAATATGATAAAACATTAATTTACACATTTATTAAATTAAATAATAATCATCAGCTTCATGTTGCATCACTGCTGAACATATACCTCTCAAATAATAAACCACTGAACGCAATTTATAATTTTCGTACAACAGTTAGTGATTGGTAAAACACACATTACTTATAGGTTACATTAATACATTTAAAACTAGTTATAAGTACTTATAACACATTTTATACAATAAAATACATTTAATGTGACACTCGACTTTCATTTAAAATGACCCTTGCATGCATGCAGCACTTGTCTGAAGACTGACACAGCATCCTGCCTGCACTGTGATGCATAATGTTCCTTCATAGATTTAGGAAAATTAAGATAAATTTTTTAGTCCCCTGGATTTTTTTCTGTGGATATTTTGAAATGATTACAATTTTTTGAACACCAACAAATAGCCTGTTAAATTTCACTGATGGACCTCTATATATAATAATTTATAGTTTATAAATTATAGTGATACAAAAAATTTATTATGCCAAAGTAATAACATAGAGGTATGTATGTCAAAATATTTATGCCAAAATATATTCTTACAAAGTGTATGAGCATTCGCAAACTTCATATTTGGAATCGCACTCACGGCAAACGGCAAATTCATAGTGTGATATTTTCTCAAAACTGTCTCGCTTTGAAAACCGATTCGGGCTGATATTTTTTATTCTTTCGGTTTTTCGAAAGTCCTTTTGATTTTGTAGATTGGAATGGAATTGTACATTTTTGTATGACACCAGGTTCACCCCTATTCCACGGGACACATAACATAACTGGCGAAACACTGGTGCTACATGTTATAAACATATATGTTATGTAATATATAACTAAATATATATTTGTTTATTACAGATATGGACTACGGCAGTGGAGGACCTCCTCCTCCGGGCATGATGAAGGACAGACACGGGCCGCCACCTCCACATCATCCGGTAATTATATACCTTATGCATTATGAATAGTCAAAACTGACTTATTGGTGAAGACACCTTGTCAAAAACAAAGAGTTTGATGACGTTCCCGGTGTATGAAACAATATTGGCCCTTATATACCTTTATCTAAACGTGGCAAAAAGTGGGTGTGTTTGTAAAAAGTCTCAGTATAAATGTCTAATCTAAAAGTTGAACACGAAACCCGACCAACGAGACAGTTTTCATATCGTCAGGCAATTTCAATAGTATAATTCCTTGTTATATAAATTAGTAAATTACATTCAGGAAGGCCTAACTTCAGTTCAGCAGGGGACTATGGTCTTGTGGGTGATTAATATGATGAAATGAAATTATTTTTTATTTTCCAGCGCGAGCGTGGCTATGGACCGGAAGGCTACGGCGGTGAGGGATTCGTGCCACCACCGCCCATGCATCACCCATCCATGCCACCACAGAATCAGGTAATTTTAAACTCTAAGAGCGAAAAAATAAGAGGTGTATAGGACTATAGGTATCTTTTTATAATAACTATCGTGAACATACTAAATTAACTAAAAATCTGGTTAATCACGTGAATATACTGAGAAAAGCTCTACTACCTCTAGTTTCGAACCACAGAGGGATTCTTCCTCATAAGCAGCGTGCGCGGTCGCGGCGATGTCGCGCAGCTAGCGTTGGCGCTCGCATCGGTTTTGCTACTTGCGCTGTGAGCTCACCGCGCCCTCTGCCAGCTTTTCTCAGTATATTCACGTGAGCAACCCGCGATTTTTGACTATAGGTATCTTCAGGAATCAGTTCTTCTACTTCCATTTCTACACTACATAAAGGTCGATTAGAAAATAAAGGCATTGTGTTCGCCTGTATCAGGTTAATAAATAAAATAAAAATAACTTGAATAAATTGCTCCCTGCTGCCGCAGGGCGGGCCCCCGCAGCAAGGCGCCGTGATGATGGTATACGGGCTCGACCCTCAGACGGTGAACGCTGACCGACTGTTCAACCTCTGCTGTCTCTACGGCAACGTTGTAAGAGTAAGTATACACCGCACATTTTTTTTTATACAATAAAGTATCACCATATTCAGCGAATCACCAATGGTGTACAAGTGCCTTGCTGGCTTGTAACCTCACTCGCACAGTACACTGGCAACCTGGTTTTCTGTGAGGCCGTCGCCAGCTCATTCGAAATGCTTTTTCTTTATTTTTAAATAAATTATCTAATATTCACTTCTTTGCTTCCAACCGGCTGATTTGACAGATTTTAGAGAAGACATCAATAGCCTATAAATGCCTTCTCGCACAGAGAAGCTTCGAGTATTAATTATCACTTGCTCAATGCAAGTTGGCGATTTCAAACTTATAATTAGAAATTATAAGCCCAGGTTTGCTCACGATGTTTTCCTCCACCGTTTGTCAGTGGTGTCTGAATAATCTTAGAAAGTACATATAACTCGGAAAAAGTCACATTGGTACTTGCCGTTGGTAGGTTTCGAACCCTTGAGCCACCACGAGACTTAATTTTGGTTCATTATTTATAGAAGGATTATGTTCAGCTGAAATGATGCTTATAAAACATCCGCTTTTAATATATATTTTCCATGTTTTCAGATAAAATTTCTGAAAACGAAAGAAGGCACAGCGATGGTCCAGATGGGCGACGCAGTGTCTGTGGAGAGATGTGTTCAGAACCTTAACAACGTCACTGTCGGCGACTACACGTTAACGTTGGCGTGAGTATATGTTACTGTAATGTTGTATTTTCATTATATTTTTTTCTTAATCACCACATAGTATTCCACTATCTGTCCCCAATTATGCTTCAGTCGTTAAAACTACACAACGGATTTTGACACAGTTTTTTTTTTATAATGATGAAACAAAATTTTATGTTTCACGATTATGCCAAACTCATTCATCCTTACTAATATTATAAATCTGAAAGTGAGTTTGTTTGTTTGTTTTTTCCACTTTCACGCCGCAACTACTAAACCGATTGCTTTGAATTTTTGCAGACGTGAATTTAGAAATCTGGATTAAATAATAGGGTACTTTTTAACCCGGAAAAATTTAATATTCTCGAGGGAAAACGAAATTATTGGTATAGATGGCGCTGTGTGTATTGGTATATGCACATAGGCTACTTTTTATCCTTTTGTGACGCGAGCGAAGCCGCGGGTAAAAGCTAGTATTTATATAATTATGGCTCTTTTCTGTTACAGTTTCTCAAAACAAGCGTACCTGTCCGAGGTGATGAACCCGTACCCACTCCCGGACAAGAGTCCGTCGTTCAAAGATTACGTCGGAAACAAGAACAATAGGTTCCTGACCCCTGCCTCTATACATAAGAACAGAATACAGCCGCCTTCTAAGGTAAGCGAGGCTATTAAACATTCTTATACGACTTACTCACACAACAATTTGACGAGGTAACTGGATTAGTTTCGGGCCATGCCTGGGGCTTATAATCATAAGCAGAATGCACGCGGCAATATATTTTTATAAAGTTTTTCCATACATTATTGTATTAGGCCACAGAATTTTACAAGGGTCGAACCCTACTTCGCAGAACGCTGTTGGATAACTCTTTATTGAAATATTATTATGTACGAATGTACATATTTCAATTTGTCAGAATTGACAAATTGTCTTTATATGCACGATGGAAATGATCCAAATTACAGTCCTAGTGCAGTATATGACCTAATCAATAATCACATATCTATTTGACGAGACAACTCGACTAATTTCGAGCCACATCCAGAGCTTATAGCCATTAGCATTTAAGATGTGATGTCATTTTAGTTAATATGATGATGATGATTATGATGTATTTTTACAATGCAGGTGCTGCATTTCTTCAACACGCCGCCCGATGTATCGGACGAGCAACTTCTGCAGGTGTTCAAAGACTACGGCGTCACCCCACCACACACTATCTCCAAGTTCCCGCTGAAAAGTGAAAGGTAAACGTCTATATTTATTGTAAGCTAGCGACTCCTGAGTCAACCGCTCTTCTCAGCGCTCATTGATCATAGCGTGATGTTTATGCCTTTAGCCTTCCTCGATAAATGGACTATCCAACACAAAAATAATTATTCAATTCCGGCCAGAAGTTACGGAGATTGACGCGTTCAAACAAAGTATTCAGCTTTATATAATAAAACAGTGTAATATATAAGATATTACCTTCTACCCGTGACTTCGTACGCGCAATCCCTTTTTCTCCCGTTCCCATAGGATTTCCAGGAATTTTTATGCGTTAAGAACCTTCTCCTGAAAATAAAAAACACAACAAAAAAATATCAGCCAAATCGATCCAGCCATTCTCAAGTTATGACGTGACAACGGGAAACGGGTTTCATTTTTATATATATAGAAGTGTAGTATAAGATTTCGCCTTTTTAACTGTTCTGTGCCTTTAGCCAAACGCCACTTTAGCGCTTGTCTACAGAGAGAGTAGAAATCAAAATGTATGGGGAAGACACTGACAAGTGTCAAAATTTACGTCAATTCCAAATAATTTGGTTTTCTATTCTACAAGTAGACAAGCGCTAAATGGCATTTGACTACAGCTACTGTTATCCTTGTACTGATGGCAGATTTGTCACCAGCCAATCTTCGTAAAAGCTGGGGACTTCATATTTGACGGACGATAGCGCTCTTTATAAACCTGAACCTTTTTAAATTGAGATCTGCAAGGCGCTTGCCAAACATAGAGATATAATTGCCCATAGACTAATTAGCTCTTCTTGTCCACATAAATATTTGTTCATGACTAAAGGAATTATAATTATATTTTACGAAACACAAATCAACCTTTGACCACTTTGACCTTTGACATTAACTTTGCACTTTACACATTGACCTTTGATATTGACTTTGCACTTTACACATTGACCTTTGACATTGACTTTGCACTTTACACATTGACCCTTGACCTTGAATAAACAATAATAAACTAATATTATTATGCCAAACTGTTCCAGGTCGTCGTCAGGACTGATGGAGTTCCAGAATATCTCGCAGAGTGTGATGGCGATAATGGCCTGCAACCATGCAACTATTCAGCATCCAGGTACAAATATTTTTTCATTCCTTTTTTCATTCCACAATCTAGATTTTTGCCCACGGCTTTGCCTGCGTGGTCAAAACAGTAATAAATTGTACACCTAAGGTTTCCTCAGACACCACACTATAAATGTGTCTTAGATTCGATTCTTGGGTCACAGATTGCTTATAGGATTTCTTGGTTTTCAAAGATTCGCAGTAGTAGCACAGAGTTTGGATTGGTACGACGGACGCGATACCGGGCCAAATAGATAACATTAGCCAAACTGTACTAGCTACCTGCTCCTTCCATGGACTTAACATATTATTATGTTTAAAACGTAAATAAATTTTTTCAGGTGCAAAATTCCCGTTTGTAATGAAACTCTGCTTTTCGTCGTCGCGACAAATTGGCCAAGGGAAGGGCCAAAATCCTAATAAGAGTCAAAATCAAAATCAAGATCAAAATAACCAGAGACAAGGTCAAAACAACGGCTTGGCAGAACATGAATACTAGTAAGAAATAAATTCACTTTATGTATAGAAAAAAAAACGTATATAAAATCAAGTGTTTTAAAAGACATGTACATTTTTTTTAATGGTGTCGGACCAATGTTGTATCGGATTGATATTTTAACGTGCAACACTGATGTTGTCTATGTGCATTAGTTTTCGTTGTTGGCAAGCCAAAGATTATGTGTTACCAGAGTGGAGGAAAAAAATAAATTAAAATAATGTTAAGTTTCTCAGTTATATTTGTAGTTTATATATAAAGTTTTGTCTGCACAAAGTAGGTAGGAGGCAAATTATAGTCAATATAAAACTTTTAATCTCGAAATATCCTGCCATTTTTCTTTTTTTTTCTACTTTTTTTACATTTTTTTTAGGAAACTTCGGCCTAGTTCAGGCTTCTAAATACAATAATGCTTTTCGTCTCTTTCTAGTCAAAATTTATCGCATAATGTCAGACTGATTCGGTTTTGAACTTTTTGTATTTATTTCCTATAGAAACGGGAGTTTCTCAATCTTCGATGTAGGGACCATAGATTTGTATTGATCATCTCTATATTTGCTTGTAAATTTTATTCAAAACGATGTGTGTTCTTATTGGAGAAAGACACTTGTAAAATTATATACATACCTATGAAAATAATTATTTATTTAGGTGAAATGAAAAAAAAATTGTAGTGGTTCTATAAACAGATTATTTAAAATAAAATGTATGATTATACCATCAAGTTATTCACTGTGGTACTATCTATTCTACTATATTTTTTTTCTCATGCCTTGAAATTTAGTATTATTAATCATTTTCATAATTTCTGTTCGCTGTTGAATGTGTATTTCATTTAATTAATAGTTGTTATTCTGGTTTAAATAATATTTAAATCTTTTAACCTATTTTTCTACGCGACATAAATATTTTCCTATAAACATATTGCATTTTCTGCATTTCTTGTTTCTTTCTAAAAACATCTTATTTTATTTTAATCATTGTAAAAATATCGTTTATCAATTTTTTTGTATATAGTTTTTTACATAATTGAAAATTCATTATTATATGCTTGTCGAGCTTAAAAAACATTTGTCTTATAAGAACACACAGTCGAAAATGCTTGAAAAAAATATAAAAAATAATTTTCAAAAAGCATAAATATAGAGATATCAGTTTTTATTAATGGATCAAAATATAGCAACAGCAAAAAAAACATAAATTTTCGAAAAAAAATGTATTTTTTTGTTTTTTTTTTTTTGGAAAATTGCTATGAATTAGTCTTTTTAACTATGGTAAGTGTTTTCAGACGTCATACAAAAACTTTATACTTATATTTAAATACCTCTGATTTGACCTTTTTCAGTTTTTGTTTATTACCTCACTATTTCGTTGGTTCGTTCAACAGCTGACCACGACAACTTAGGTAAAGAATTATTGGATGTTTCGTTTATTAAATATCCATTAAGAAAACATTGTAGGTACAAAATTACCTACTTACCTGCTTTCTTATTAATTTCAGGTGTCAGTAAGCTAGACCTCTGAAAATGCTTACCGATTTCAAAATAAAATCTAATGTCATATGGACTTTTTCTAGAAACAATTTTATTATTTACAATATAATTAACAATTACTTCATAGGAAGTATCGGTCAATTTCTCATTTGTTTCCTGCGCTTCGAAGCTACGTTGCTATATTTCGATCTTGAAAATGCTAAAATTATTTTGGATGATGAAAATATTTCTCTATTCTTATAGTAAATCTTTGTAAACATAATTTTCCTAAAAAGATAATTTTAAAACGATTTTTCTAAAGAATTTCCAATCTTTTCTACCTTTATCTATCTACGACGACTTTGACATTTTTCTAAAAAAAAAAATAGTTTTTTTTTGTTTTTTTTTTTCGAAACACCACCCGGTTTTTCGTTCCTTGACTTATGTAAGCCAAAAATTAAGCCAAAGTCTATATGAGAAAGTTAGAACTAAAATAAATATGTATAAAACAAATATATATATATAGAAAATACTATTGTATGTACGTACATGGTAAGGGCTAAATAAAAAATGTTTTGCATCGGTCCGGGCAGACGGACTTTGGCGGAAAAGTTGTCTTTTTTGTCCACTAGATGGCACTGAATATTCTAAATAATTTTTAAAAAGGAGTATTTAAGCTGTCATTATTCATTGTTGATTATTTTGAAAACTTTAAAAAGATATATTTATACTTAGATGTTTCTTGTTTTTTTCACAAAGAAACACCTCACTTTTAGTCAAAGAGTTTAGTTGTTATAAAAGTACAATCATGTACTTAAGTGTCATTATTCAATAAAAATAAATAAATAAATAAATAAATAGTTATAAATGAGTGGATAATAAAGGCAGTGTTACATGTTTAAGAAAATTTTAATTAGTTTATTTGCAGTTTTAATTGTGTGCGCGAGATTTGCACAGTTTTTTTTTCGATTTCGAAATATTTGTATTTTTTTTTTTCATTTTTTTTCTGCTTGTCTTGAAAAATGGTCAAGAACATCGTTGTTTTATTGAAATATTATGAAGATGGCGTATTTATAAACATTAATGAAGTGTTGGTTTACACAAGAAGTTTATTGTTATAACTAAAATTATGTTTTTTTTTCAATATGAATTGAATAGTTTAATATTTTTACAACAATTGCAACATTTTGCAAGATTTTCGTTTTAAAAGTAAATTATTAGAGTCATCCATTCCTAGATAAGCAGAGAAATAGATTTTTTTACGAAATCAATTTTTTTTTAATTGTATTTTATTTCATATTATTCAGAGAAGCTGCCTTGAAATCTCGCGCTAGCAAGTAGTAATATAAAATTAGTATATATAAATATATTTGTCAAAAGGAATGACATATCTTATGTGGATAATAAAAAGCGTGTATGTGCTATGTCAATTTGTAAACAGCTATATATACATGTAGATATGTTTGTGTATATTTATGTACACTCGTGCACAACACCTTATATTTTTTGTGTGGCAACACAGTGCTTTTAAGCTTAATATTAATAGATTTGTACTTAAAATACGCTGATCTAGATTTGTAGAATACAATATTTAATTATAATTGTAAGAATGTTGTGCCCGATTGTACAGTCGCTTGTCCGATGGGAAATGTCAATTTCTTCTTAAGTTACGTCTAGCGTACGTCCGTATGTGTATAATATGCTTCGAAACTACATATCACAGTGACAAATAATAAAATTAGTGAAATGTATAGAGTTACATAAAATATTACATGTCTTTTTCACTTAATCACAGTCTTTGCTCAAATTTTAGTTCTTTTTTTTTTTGTTTTTCCTTACATTTTTTCTTTTTTTTATCCTTTTTCTACTCATTATTTGACAATACATTCTGTTAGGTACTTAACATTTCACAGTGTGACCTTAAAAGGGACAGTAATACAGTAATTACATTTCTCTTCGCCTCCCTTCGAACAGATATTCTCCTCGAAATCTTTTTCGGTCAAAACTGAGACTTCAAAACATTCATCACTCACTAAATACTATTTGCTTCTAGCTAACGGCGTGAGGGGGCCGACACACACACACATATCAAGACGGACGGCACACACACACACAGGCACACCACTACGAGTGCGGGGGGGAGACATGGGGTTGTCGCTATAAAATAAAACTAGAAAAATTCACCCGCTTTCACCACATCCCTCATTCGAAAAAGTTACCACAGAAATCGAAAAGCGGGCGAATTTTTCGAGGCGGCAACATTTTTGAATAATTCCTTATTTTTACAATTTGTGATTTAGATCACTCTTATAAAGACATTAACAGTTAGTTTTTTTAATATAATTTTAGACACAGTAACATGTTTTTTTTTTCATATTATTACACATTTATACATTTCCATTTTTCTTTGTTTTCTTTGTTTTTGTTTAGTGCGGAGCGATGCTCTGTTGAATGCGTCTGCATTTTGTTTGTGGACTTAGCAGTTTAGGTATCGATTAAGTAATATTCCCATTTAATTTGATTAATTAGCTTTTAGTTACTTTTTATTTGTCTAGTGCTGTTTTCATCCCAATTGATACATTGACGTAAACTGACGGGCTTGAAGACAGCACTGTTTCCTGTTTTAGTGAGGATTTTTTAGTAAAAAAATGATATTAGTTGTGAGTAATGTTGAAAGTACTTAGTTTTCTTTGTTGTTCCCTTTACTCGTGCGCAGTGCCGGGCAGCGAGTCCGCGCGCACTTGTATCTAGAAACTCGGTTGTTTTGTAAAACATGACAGTTGTGAAATGTACAAGAAATAAAGAAACTGAGCTATATTATAGAAAATATTGTTTTATTTTTGGTTTTGGATAGACCACGGTTTGTGCTTGTTTCTTAAGTTCGCAGTTACGTTGGTAGACGCCATCTGTCGACCATTTCAAATGTTTTAAGAACCAAAATTATCTAAATGTAAGATAGTTTAGCACACTTTAGGTTAGTAGTAAGTGTCATTGCAATGTCAATTATATTCGATTAGTGGAGGAAAAATAAATAAAAACAGTAAAGTTTTCTAAAAATTTTTCTTAAAAAATATAGCGATGATTCGATAAGCCTTGCACAAGGATCTAGTATAATAAGGACAAACTCAGTGAAGACACCATAGCACCATAGACGCGCTGGTTGGAGAGTAAAGTTATTTTTTGTTTTGTGTCTAGACATAGATGTTTGTATGGTGTGGCGTTGTAGCTCGTCTATATTACTGTTTATGAGTAGAACTTGTATGTATATTTATTTGCGAGTCGTACTAACAATCAATTAATGATGTCAAATTACATAAACAGTCTTATAGCCAGCATTCGACTAGTCTTTAATATAGCTGAATTTAATAAATGTTATCAGGTTATAGATGCATATCTTTTTCTCTAGGAATATTTTCGAATGGAAAAATTAAATGTTCTAGGATTAGGACCTGAATGTCATGATAGCTAACCATTGTGTTGAATGTACAAAGAAAAATTTAGTAAATGTTGTTTTTTTGTCAATAAATTAATTTATGTACTGACTTGATGACACTATTCTACTCAAATGAACTCAAGAGACGCGAGATGGACATTAAAAATGGCCGCTGAGATGAAAATTTAAATTATTAATGTGTGCGGTCAATTTTAGTGTCTATTCTCATATTGTCGCTAAACGATGCTTGACAGCGCAAGACAGAGCACAGTGGTACTTCACTAGTGATTGAAAATGTATTTTCGTTTCTTTATTAGCCTACATTTTATTGATTAGGTATGTAGTTACATGATAAACATTAAATTACATGTCAACACAACTATTTCTTTCATTTCCAACACAAACCACTTCAGAGAACATGCTAACACTGATTTGCGAACTAATTTATTTTATAAAGCTGCGACGAGTTCGATTCTCGAGGCAATAGTCTGTGTCGTTCCCTGATTTTCGCCAATTACACGGAATCGAAAACCTACCTGGTATTAAATATATGTAACTTTATTTTCTTAAAAAAAGAGGTTAAAATGAAAACAAATTACTTAATCTTAATTACTCAAAACTCAATCTTTGGCAATGTGACAATAAATCCTACTAGCCAACCGAATTATAATATTTAATCGGTCATTTTAAAAATAAATTGGTTTGTAAAACTTGTGTTAGCGACCGTACATCCTACTTACCTTACAACATACCTATCAGAACATTTACCTTTAAAAAGATTTAATAAAATTACTTATTACCTAAATAAAATACAACAAAAATCATTTAATGGGGGCTTCCGTTTACCGCTCACCAAGTGGCGCAAATGGCAATTGGAATAGAGTTTTTGGTCCAACCACAGCAGCTGTCAAATACTAAACGTACAATAGTCTGACACTTGCTCCATTCCCTATTGCCTTCTTCTCACTATGCTAGTAGTTTAGTCGAGTATTTAGTAACTCTCTCTCGCTTCGATTTTGGGACAGAAACGAGAGGAATATACTAAACACTCGACTAAAATACTAGCATAGTGCGAATAAGGCATATTGGACGAAGAACGAGGGGTTCACGCTAGCGTTACCTAGTCAGCGCGAATCGGCAGGCCCTATAACATCCACTGATATTTTCTTAAGACAATACATAATTGACATATTTTTTTCTTCTGACATTAGTTGGTACAGATAAGACAAAATTATTTGGTTGGCAACGCATTTGTGACACCTCTGGTGTTGCGGGTGGACTTAAGCTACAGTGCCCGCTGGCCGACCGTTAGTGTTGTTGCTGCTGAAAAACAATGTCGACTTTATAACAAACTAATAAGGGTGAAAATTTATTATGAGAATCGATTTCGCTGGAAATCTGTACCTATAATTACATATTACAAAAGAATTGCATAAATAGTGAAAAGTGGGTGTTACATTGTACAGCGGCATCAAGTGCCGTAATGCATGCACCTCTGCCTACCCCTTCGAGGATATGATGTTATGTTATGTTGTATCTTTTGGGAAAATAATGAATTTGCTCAAATTCAGACGTACGAAACGAAATAAATAAGTAAATTCTGAGGTGCGTAACTATTTGATCTACAGGAAACTAAAGGAAAGTCTAAACACTCACAAAGAATACTGCATCAATTTATTTATTCAGTTTATAAAGGTACTTTATAAAAATACCTACTTCATAGGAAGAATATTCTTGGGAAACCACTTCACACCCAGATAAGAAACGATAAATTGAGGATCACATGCTCAGATATAGTTCTACACAGGACTCGATACCACGACACGTCATCCAGCCACTATATTTGATGCAGCAGATTGACCTCTATAAACAAGATGTCATTGTATAAACAAATCTTAGTTCTAATTATGACGACACATATTACTAAGTTCGTATGTAAATAGTTCTATTATTTAAATAAATAAAAGGCAAAGAAAATGTAAATTTTTAGAATTATCAAGAGAAATTAATATTTATTACTTATATTAGAAGCTGCACTTGAAACGCGAGGTATTGTAAAATTGTATAGAAAATAAATAATGTTTTTGATTAAAAACATTGTGTTATTTGTTTCTCTTTTATACAAACCTGGTTTATGGGTTCGATTCCCATTTCATGCATCTAAACGATACACCCTTGAATCTTTACAATTATTTCACAAATTATGCATATTGCGCCAAAGTTAACAAAGCTGGTACGCCAGTTATTATTGCTTTTGCCCTCCGTTTTTTACTCTAACGCGAATCCTATCGTTCCTTCTATCTAAAAACAGTTTTAAAAGTTCTAAAAAGTATTAAAGCAGATGGTAGAACTACAAATGAGTAAATCAAAATAAGTAATCTTATTTCATAATAACTATCGTGAGACATATTAAATTAAGTAAAAACGCGGGTTACTCACGTGAATATACTGAGAAAAGCTCTACTAGTTTCGAACCACAGAGGGGTTCTTCCTCATGAGCAGCGTGCGCGGTCGCTGCGCTGCGCGACGTCGCCGTCGTCGCGACCGCGCACGCTGCGACGAGCTTTTCTCAGTATATTCACGTGAGTAACCCGCGTTTTTACTTAATCTTATTTCATGTTAAGAATATTCATGATTCTTCTTCCAAGGTGCCAGGACTTCATAGCTTAGTAAAAAGTTTAAAGGTTGGTAAGCAAGGAATGGAGATGCTGCTCAGCAGGTGGCGCTAGTGTGATGGCAGTATATGCAGATGTAGATGGCACTATTTGATACATTTCTTACTATATTGTGAAGTCTTGTACTTGTACTTGTACTTGCGAAGAAGACAATACTGAATAAAATATGAAAATGATTTTCACTTAAGAAATTTTTATAGAGATTTCAGCCTCTGCTAGAATGCCTCTAGACTGGTCGGGCAAAGTAATAATCTTAGTAGTAGCACGGGGTCTGGAATTGTGACCGGTATATGGCAATAAGCCCTATTACATGAGACTCCTAACATAAATGGTGAAAAGTGGGTGTTATATTGTACAGTAGCATTAAGTGCCGTAAAGTGCACCTTTGCCTATCCCTTTGGGGATAAAAAGGCTTGATGTTATGTTATGACTTTCAGATATCTAATTTAGATTCGGGAGATATAGAAACACAATACAGAAATATAACATGGGCAGCTAATCAAAACATCAATACAGTATGAAACAAAACGTAAAAATTAAGTACATCCACCATAGAACTAAAAAGCGATCGACAAAAACTTAACATTCATGTACCTACCAGAATACTAGGCTAAAGACAAAGAGGTTAAACGAAGAATACGTGCAGATATTCACAATTATAATACACAGTTACTTAATAAAAACATATCTAGAAACAATCTAGTCTTGTCAGGTAAAAGAAAAATTAAAATCAACAATCTCACAGATAATAACGGAACAAAACAGACAGATAAAGAAATGTAAAGAATACTATAAATCTCTGTGCGCAGCCGATGATAGCTCTCAAATTCACATAAATACCTATTATTACTCAAAAAAATTTCAACTAACAAATGGTTTTTAAGTTCATCGTGGCCTAACAAATATGAAATATAACAAAACCCCCATTAAGTAAAGATGGCATTACCACCGAAGCTTTAAAGATAGGAGAACCAATTCTGTTGCCCAATATCACGAATCTAAATATTTCCATATTAAAATATGATACGTCTACACTACCGGAAAAGTTCTGTCTCGCTAATATTAGGTAATTATGTACCTATGAAATTGCCGAACTGCAGTATTGGCACTTTCATCGAATTTAAATCTATTTCGTCATTCGTCAAATTCAAGTGATAATGGAATATGAGTACCGTCGTGGCAGCAACGCAGCACAAGCGGCACTCAACATCAACGATCTTTACTGACCTAACACTACATACCAATGCGCCACCTGGGTGCTTACTCTTGAAATTAATCTCAATGTCAATGCAATTTCAATCCAATAAAATCTCAATAATGATTCAATGTCAAAACTATACAACCCCTATCGTAGCTATTAAAATAGCATTCAGAGTACGGAATATAAAGCCCAACTCAATACCATTTAGTTCAATCAATATCCACGCAATATGGGTCCAATGGGCGCTAGTGTTGCAACTCGAAAGTACGAAATTTCACAATACGAATGTCGATCGATCGGAATTGGATTCAAGAGTAAGTCCCCTGTTATTGGTTTGCTCGCTTCCATTCTGGGAATTTCGAACTGAAAAAATGAACCTCGCGGTTCTCCGGAGACGGGTCGACAGTGACAAATTAAAGGCGATTGCGAAAGCTGCTGATACAGAATCTACGGCTGAATTAGCAGCAGTTTTCGATGTTAGCGTCACAGCTTCTTACCAAACGGGGTGAGCATTACCGCAAATGTGTATACTGTAAAGAACTGAACACAATGATAGAGAAGCTGGCACATCTCCAACTAGCAATTGTCAATCGCTAGTCTCCGCTGCTCCTGCACGATAACGCGCGACTTCATACTGCGGTCTCCAAGTTGCAGGAACTGGGGTTGTAAGCTCTTCATTATCCGCCCTACTCACCAGTACTTGCGCCTACAGACTACTATTTTTTCCAGAATTTTAAATTCTTGGCGGGATAAAATTCTACTCCCGAGAATATTATATATTATATTTTTATTAATAAATACAAGTTGTCGTCCAGCAACACATTCTTCAAGGGCATTTTTTAAAGCAATCAGGTGAACGGGAGTCCAGTTAGATGTCAGTCGAGCAGTGAGTGAAACTCACTACTGAATGGAGCCCACTCATAGTCAACAGACGCCGCGATAGGTCCAAAACCAACCGCTGTTTATTCAATCAACTGTTTCAAGTAGCAATTTTTCATCTTCAATGGGTAGCGGTTCAACGGCCAAGCACGCAATATTAACTATAGTAATAAAGAAATCGCAGTAAGAAACCTTAGACTTGGCACGACTTTGTCTAGATTTCATTACTTTTTAGAAATGAACGAGCGGCTCCATCGAGATTTGGCTAATTTTTTACGTAATGTTTTAGGTTGGATTTGACTTCTTTGGGAGAAACTTGGGAATATTGGTTTATTGTATTATTTTTTTTATTTTATTTATATGCGTATTAAACTGTCAAACACCGCGAGGACACCGGTGACGGCAACCTATTGTTCTATAATTGTGTCTATAATGACGGCACTCAACGAGTTAAAGGCGAAAGCGGGGCTCAGCAATGGCGCTAAAGGGAAGACCATGTCCCACTACGCTGGAGTTTTGTAATGACAGTCGATTTTTATATACCAATAGTAGAAGGGGGCACTACCATATCTAACGCTACGGAAGGACGACGCGATTTTCACCCGCGCCTACCGCGATTTATTTTCAATACTTACGATACCGCAGTTTTCTGCCGTCCAGCAGTCGACGCGGTTGCATTTATCGCCCGCAAACTTAGCGGTTGTTTATCGCAAGACGAGCGGGCGGTTAAACAATCAGTTGAGTTCCAGACCGGCCGGCCGTCCCATTGTAATCGGTGCCAACCGATCGTAGAGCGCGCGGGTGCTAGCTGCCGCGGGTGGGGACCGTAGCCGCGCCCGAGGCATACAATCGCACACCCGCCGCGGGCGTAAAAGGCGCCGTGAAATGCGCTTTGATTTTTTACATACATAACTGAATGAGAAAATCGCGCCGTGAATCCTTAGCCAAACAGCTGAGACCTGCTGATGGTTCTCCATCAGATCCTTCAGACCTTCGATTTTTGACATCAAATGAACTGGACCACCAAGTTGAATATTTTTATATAGTGTATATGTCAATCTCTAAGTTTGGTTGGGCTCATGAGGTTTCTAATCAGGGTTACCAGGTACAGATCTCCAGATCTTCGATTATCCTAGTTTTTATAAATTTCCCTTCATGTGGCCAATAAATCTAATTCAATACCCAGCCCTCTGAGTTTATGGGAAGTACTAGTTCTATTTTGATGATCATGAGTGAGTGTCACAAATGCGAAACTTTGCTTTCGCATAACTTTAGAAATAAATGACCTGTAGACTTGAAATTTTGGAATTTAAATATGTGATTATGGCTTACTGGGTGATGAAAATTTCTGTGTTCTGGTCTTATCCAGAGGTTCTCCAATAGGAGCCTGATAAGCGGCGAAATGGTTTTAGTAAAGGATGGTACCTACGGTAATGTTTGCGTCGCGGGGGAACTGCCGTGCCACCAAAATGAAAAAGAACGCATATTTAGCGCTTTGTTCAACAAGTGTTGGTAAAACGCGCGTTTTTTATTTGTTACTCCTTCACTGCAAAACTGCTGAATGGAACATGGACACGTCAAAACGGGATGGAATTTGGAACAGGGGGGTCTAGAATAACACATAGTCTGGTTTATATCCCACGGGAACGCGGGCAAGCCGCTGGCAGAGCTAATGCTTTATAAATATATTAAGAAACCACTTGTATATAAACTGAAGAAAAAATTAAACAACAGAGATGTCACTAAAAACTGTTTTATTTCATATAAATAGTATATAATACGCATACATATTTGTAATAAAAATATTAACGCCAATGTAATCGCTATGCGACTAAAAAACATTTTTTCTTTAACATAATTTCAATTTTTTTTTTCTATCTAATTAAATACTACTACAATATTGTCTATCGTCTATATATAATACAAGACTAGGTGAATGCCACATATTATCCTGGGTTCGATTCCCGTTCGGGCAAAGCGATAATTGATTTATTCCTTATTTCTCTAAGTATAGACTAGAAAACTTGAATTATTTCGATATTTTTGCCAGACCCAGAAATCGAATCCAAGATCTCGTTATTTAGTTTAACAGCACAATATATGTAGTCGATTTAAAAAATATATAATAATAGGGTAGATGACTAATTTTTATTTTAATGTCCGTCTGGTAGATTTTTTAAATATTAGACACGTGTGTTTTTTATTTTCATAGAAACAAATGGAACAAATACTTTTTCCGATAAATTGATTTGAAATACTACGTAACGTCACTTCTAGGGACGTTTTGTACGTAGAAATGACGTTTTCGCTTCAACTCCTAAACTTTGATTTGCTTTATCTAAGTACTCTTACATGACAAAATAAAAAAATACGTGTCGAATATTTTTCATTATCTAACTGACGGACTAATTAGATTTTTAATTTTGATACCCTGTCATCATTATGACAGAAAATAGTATGATGAATTGATGACCTATGCAAATAAGTCATTTCAATAAAAGCAATGTTTTTTTATTTACTGTGACCTGTGCCTTTAGCCAAACGCCACTTTAGCGCTCGTCTACAGAGAGAGTAGAAAACTAAATGTATGGGGATGACACTGACAATACGGTGTTTGACAACATTCAAAATACTCTACAAAATATGGATATTCTACGAGATAATAGTATAAAGAACACCACTTTTACTTTATTTTAACAAAATAATGTATAAAACGATTTCCAAAATTTGTCAAATACCGTATTGTCATTTTGACAATTTACGTCAATTCCATCCAAATCCAAATTATATTTCAATTCGCGCAAATATCTACTACATGTAGTAGACAAGCGCTAAAAGGCATTTGGCTACAGCTGCTGTTTATTTCAGTGTTAAAAACTCATCAAGTTCATTTGACAATAGGCAGTTGGCTGCCACGCAACGTGTGGCGGATTCGATGCCTGCACGGAGCAACTCTTTATGTGATCCACAAATTGTTGTTCCAAGTCTGAGTGTCATGTGTATGTGAACTTGTATGTTTGTAAACGCATCCTCGACACAGGAGAAAATAAAGTATGGGGCAACGTTTTATTTTTAAAGTATAATTTCATAGCCTATTTCTGAAATAAATAGGTACTTATAGTAATTGATATATCACTTGTATTAGTAGTTTGGCTTATAATTGGCCGGTGTTTGGCAGGGTCCTATGTCCGGCAGATAGTTCAGCGGTTGATGGCGACCCATCCGTTGTTTCCGTCCGGTAACTTGATCTGTATAAGACGTACCACACCGCCGTTTTCATCGTTAGCTACGATCTGAAATAAAAAAATAATAAACAATGTTACTTTTATTGTTTTTACATTTTTAACCCTTATAGTACCACGCCATGTCAGTCACCGGTGGCTGACACTGAGAAAGGAGGAGACACTGACACTTTCATTATTTTAACTATGAAGTTAAAGTGTTTTGTTTTTATGGGATAAGTCGGTAAACGAGCGGACGGGTCACCTGATAGTAAGCAATTGACCGGCCTTTTGGGGATTAGGAGTTTGAGGATCGTTGGAGATTCAGGGATTGAGGAAGAGGGGGGGGGGGTGACGAAACATAACGCAAGCTTTGCTTCACGTCGGTTTTAAAGCTCGGCCGTGAAGTTAAAGCTTGCTTTGACACGAAGGTAAAGTGTGGGAGTGTGTTTAGAGAGCAATGGAGTGTATTCTACTCTGCTGTCACCCAAGGCGATCGCAACGCACTTGATCACAAGTACGTATCAACGTGCGGTGTATTTAGGATACGATGTCTGCTTACCGTCAAACGGGCTCTAAGCTTTGCTGCTACCGACAGTATTTTATTATACATGTCTAGTACAATATTTATGAAAACTTACTTCAGTCTGATCCGCCAATTGATCGGCGTTGACGGCTTCCAAAATAGTTGCGTCGGCCCTCTCTCCTAGATTATCTGCGAAAAACATAATTAAATATACATATTTATTGTACTTCATTATCTTATATATAGCTTAGCCTCAGTTCTGTCTCCCATGGGGTAGGCAGAGATTATGGGACGCCAATTGGCAATTGCATACATCTTTCGCTTCATCAACAGGCATCAATCTTTTCATGCACGTCAGTTGTCGGATTTCGTAAGGTTACAATACAGAATGCTATTTGACTTTGAAATCAAAATATGAAACAAATAAATAAGCTTTTTATTCCCCGAAGAGGTAGACAGAACTGTGTGTGAACCCACGTTTCATCAATTATGTTAGAAGTCCCATGTCGGTTTAAAGGAAGAACCCTAGACCAATCAACTAGCAGTGAATAGGTCGGGAGTATTGAAATATAGACCGTAAAACAATATGATTAAGACTTACGTATAGTTAAAAGCGTGGATTCATCTCCTTCTTGTATTAAATTCAATGTTTTATCTGAAAAAATAGCAACATATTCATTAATTCAATTATGGGTCTCCTCTACTTAAAAGGGGGTTTACAATAACTATTTATATTTTGTATCGTGAGATATAATGAATGTAATAAAATAACGGTTGAGATATACTGAACTACATAACAGTAATTTTAGGCTTCTGCCTGCGACTTCGTACGCGCAATCCCGTTTTTTCCTATTCCCGTAGGATTTTCAGGTGTTTTTCTGCCTTAAGAACCTTCTCCTAATAATAACTAATACAACAAAAAAATTAGTGACATCGGTTCAGCCATAACAAGAGGAATTTGTCCGAGGGATTAATTGATCGGAGTTGAAGAGGGTCAGGTCTCTGATAGAGAGTGATTACGTAACTGTTTAGTCCCTTAATCGGTTCTACAGTACGGTTCACTAGTTATGGCTGGCGCAGAAAACTGCGCAATGACGTATTTTAGGAACCAAAACGACGACGTGTGCGGGACAGGCCCAATCAGAGATTAGGCAAACAAGGATGCAACTACTTATGCGCAATTTAATTTTTTCTCATTCTCGTAGGATTGTCAGGAAATCCTTGGATAATATCCTATGTCCGTCTCCTGGTTCTACGCTACCTCCCCACCAATTTTCATTCAAATCGATTTAGTCGTTCTTGAGTATAGATTTAACAATATAACTCACCACCACCGCTGTCCTGTAAGATCAATTTCTTGTCTTCAGTTATATAAAACTTTGCATCTCCTAAATTCACCTCCGCTTCGGATTTGACTGAAATTATAACAATATGTTTTTGTAACATGTTTTTTATGGAATCATCAACAGCCTATAAATGCCCACTGCTGAGCAAAGCCTCTTCTCACACGGAGAAGGTTAGAGCATTAATCACCACGCTTGCTCAATGCGGGTTGGCGATTTCAAACTTATAATTAGAAATTATAAGTTCAGGTTTCCTCACGATGTTTTTCCTTCACCGTTTGTTAGTGGTGTCTAAATAATCTTAGAAAGTACATATAACTCGTAAAAAGTCACATTGGTACTTGCCGTTGGTAGGTTTCGAACCCGCACCCTCATGCATGAGAAGTGGGCGTCTTAAACCTCCGGGCCAATCCATTTTTTATGGAATACGGACAGCAAACGATACGACGAACCATCTGATGATAGCAATCTTCGCCCATTGACACCCGCTACACCAGTAGTGTTACTAGTGCGTTGCCGCCGTTTAAAGGGCTAGATATATCTCCCACATTTACCAGTTATCTTATTATGAGTAGTAGAGTAGTTCAAAATTATAATAAAATTTTACCCATCACGGGAATCGAAGCCTCGAAATAATAAAATATGAACTACCAACTCACCTGATTTGATACTAGCCTCCAATTCAGCCTGTGATTCAAATATCTGTAAAAAAAATATGTAAAATAGAAATAAGTCATACGTTCAACAAATAATTATCTAGGAATTCATGTCATCAAAATAATATTGGTATGCAACTCACCGCATCGAATTTATTAGTTTTTGTATCGTGATCAGTTATATCGGTAGCGTGTGAACTTGTTCCCTGTAAAGAGAAAAAAAAATGTTTTTTATACTTAATAGGTCGACATTTGTCCACCATACCGCCAGGGTAAGCGATGATGTGTCCGACGATGGAGCACGCCTACCTACGAGCAACCTGGTTACTCGGGACTTGAAGACACACAAATTATATTTGTTGGGAAACACAGATTCCGGCAAGGAATTCTATTCTTTAGCGGTTCGCATAAGGAAGCTTGACGCGAAACGCTTCGTTTCATTGGGTGGAATGTCCACCATACAAGGACGGCGCCCTGCCGCTCGTCTGGTAGTACGATGGAGAAACTGCAGCTGTAGCCAAATGCCATTTAGCGCTTGTCTACATGTAGAATAGAAAACAAAATTATATGGAATTGACGTAAATTTTGACACTTGTCATTGTTATCCCCATACATTTAGATTTCTACTCTCTCTGTAGACAAGCGCTAAAGTGGCGTTTGGCTAAAGGCACAGGATACTATTAAAAAAGTTTAAAGTTGAAACTATGCTTATAAAAGTTGCTTCGATATTACGATTTGTTTTGCTTTACACTAGGATTTTCTCCTGTGTCGTTTACAAACACATACACATGAGACTCACACTCGAACAACATTCTGTGGATCACACAAAGAGTTGTTCCGTGTGGGAATCGAATCCGCGACACGTTGTGGACGCCTACGTATAGCGTGCTATTACCTCTATTGGCTATGTGCACGGCGAGTAGTGGCGGACAGACAACGACCGCAGCGCACCACACGGCAGACATTGGAAACTAATGCGGATGATGCAAACACGGTTTTTATTATTATATTCATTTTACAGTAAAACTATTGAATAAATTGTACTTAAATAATGTCAACAATACTATTTTAGTCTAGTTTTATTTATATTTGCAAAGAAAATTATAATGTTTACATTGTTATTATTCGACAGCTTCCGCAAATGTTGTACGCGTCGCCACCGTCGCCCACATAGCCAATACTCGAATAAAGATCAATTATGTAATTAATTTTAATATACTCACATTTTCAGTAACCTTAATGACTCTCGGTTGATTGACCACTATGGACTCCGCCAAGTGTCCCTGAAACATAAATAATAATACAACTATTAAATAATGTAATATATGACCAGTGGATACAACTTAAAATAAATTTTTAATTAAATGATAATTTCAACTAGTGCCTCGTTGGTCGAGTGGTGGCAAGTGCGACTGCCGGGCAAGGGGCTCAGGTTCGTTTCTCGGTTCGGGCTAAGTATTACAGGTTTTTTTTTTTCAAAACATCACTGTAGTTGTAGTCACAATTCAAGACTCCGTGCGAGTCTGGAATTGTGCCCGGTATATGGTAATAGGCTCACCCCCTGTTACATGGGACTCATAATATAAATAGTGAAAAGTGGGTGTTATATTGTACAGCGGCATTAAGTGTCGTAATTTGCACCTCTGCCGACGCCTTCGGGGATAAAAGGCATGATGTTATGTTGTGTTTATGTATGTGATAATCAATTAATGTATTGCTAAATTTTTGTCATGTACGCATTTTTTAGTCATGAATATTTTTTACAGGATTAACTAAACGGGTATACGAAATTTCAAGTGAATCGGATAAGGATATTAAGATGTCTGCTTTAAAATTCAGTTGCATTTTTGCAGATTTCGCTTTATACACAAACACATACACTGTGAAATCATTTTTTTTTATTTATTTAGATTTCTTTTTCTTCTCACAGCTTCTTTATAGGTTTTTTAATATGGTTCTGTCTTGGTAATACAATGGTTTTACAAAACAGAAACGAAATATAAACCAAAAATAAGTGGTATACCATTGCAAAAAACGAAATTCGAAAGCGGATACGAAGTCATAGTACGTTATCAAAACATCACGGCATGTATTCACAAAGAGGTATTCCCCGTGGGGTGTCACGTGCGATGTGATAGTGCGTGCGAGTTGCCGTGTGCCGCGCGGCACACGGCGCGGACCACACGGCGGTGTGGTCCGCGTGTACACGGCCGTGTGGCGGGCCGTGCGGCCGGCGCCCCGCGTGCGGCGCGCCTCCAGGACCCCGCACACCACCACGGGGGGGGGCAACAGGGCTCATGGCGATATGGAGCCGCGGAGGACTTAACTGGTAACCGGGACTCCGGCTCATAGTGCAGGAGAAGGAACGGGGTGGTTTTTAGTCAGTAACAGTCTGACACTACCTCTCGTCTCACTCGTACGTCAATAAATACAAACAACTCACGCTAGTGTTCATGTGTGCGTACAGTAGTTGTTTCCTCATGTACCCGGCCCCGCAGGCGACGCACTCGTACGGCTTCTTGTCGCTGTGGACGAAGCGATGCGTGTTGCGATTGTCGCGAGAATTGAACGATTTGCCGCAAATCTGGGGAATTAAAGATACAAATCATTATTAACTTTATGTTATACATATTTATAGCAGTGTTTATGAATGTAATCTGAACTTATCTATGTATACTACCATTAAGTTGTAAAAGTTTGTCTCATGTCGCCGATCTTTGAAACTACTGGTTCGAATTCAATAATCATTTTTATGTTGGAAAGTGCATTTATCGAAAAAGGGTATATATAGGCTATAAAACATCACACTATGACCAATATTAACCGAGTAACGCGAGAAACAGCACGAGAGAATCTATTACCGCAGTTTCGCCTTTCGTAATAGACTATCCAACATAAAAATCATTATTCAATGTTAGTAGTTCTGGAAATTATCGTATTCAATTAATCAAACTGTTCAGGATTACGATATCAACATAGTATCAAATAAATACAGTGAATCTGCCAAGCAAAAAGTCTTCGATTCGTTTTCGAGTCAGAAAAATTTGTATTAGTTACTTGAAATTAATTTACATAATATCAAGTCAAAATAGGTATCACAGCTGACTGCCGACTAAAGGCCTTTTCTCGTAAGGAAAAGGTTTGAGCACTAGTCACAACGCTTGCTCAATGCGTGTATATATATATATATATATATTTATTTTTATATCTGATGGACCGACATTTGACCTCTATCTCGCCTGGTGGCAAGCGATGATGCGGTCTACGATGGAGCACGTCGACCCATAAGCAACCTATTCACTCGGGTCTTAAAGACACCCAGGTTATATACCCTTCAGGAAATATAGATTTTGGCAATGAATTCCACTCCGTAGCAGTTCACACAAGGAAGCTTGATGTGAAGCGCTTCGTGCGTGTGTGGAATATCTACCATGAATCAGTGACGCTTCGCCGATTGTCTTGTGGTACGATGATGGAAAGGACTAGGGAAATAGGTAGTAGAGTAGTAGAGTGACCTCGCAGACGTAGGGCCGCTCGCCGGAGTGTATGCGGACGTGCTTCTTGTAGTGCTCGGGGTAGACGAAGGACAGCTGGCACACGCCGCACTTCAGCGGCCGCTCGCCCGTGTGGCTCGCCTTGGTGTGGTACTCCAACAACCTGCGCCGGGATTGGCCATATATTTCACTGTACAACAAACGTCTCTTCGCACAGAGAAGACAGAGGAAGAATGACTCTATAGTCAGAATTTTAATTAGATTCCAAATTTGACAATAGCTACTGTCATTTTGTGAAATAATGATACCACATATAATAGTATAGTGATGAACACAAAAATCGATAAACAATCAGTGTGTGTGTTTTATAATAAATGTTACAGAAAGTGACAGGATAGCGATAGCGATGACGGCGACGATTTATAAAATTACTTATTACCATAATACATCTATCTGTTTTACTTGTCATGTTCCTTCATGGTTACATTTAAACAATACACAATTATAAAAAAAAAGTTCAGATCGTTAATTAAGCGTCAAAACTAAATTATCGGTTCAGAAATATTTAATTTCCTGATATACTTGGTTTACGAGAGAAAAATTATAAACGAGAAGAATCGATCCAGAAATATTGCATTTCCATATCGAATAATTTCGCAACGTCACTATTTAGTACTTGTCATAACGTTGCATCACTGAAATTGTCAAATCTGGAATCGAATTAAAATTCCGAGTATATGACTCGAAACTAGGAGAGATTTTCACGATAAAAACATAAATCACTTGAATGCATATAAGACGCCATAGAAGATACATTGTTATCGATACCACGGGTCTTGATCTTGGTCGATTCTTGTGCGAGCATAGTGTTTATGTCGCAGGCGAATTGTTGCCGTTTTGGGATACAGTCGTATTGTCAATGCGAAACGTTCTACAATATGACGGCAGACATTTGGTCTCATTGTAAGTATTACCGACTTCAAAAAAAGGAGGAGGTACTAGGTATGTTCGAATGTTTTTATTTTTGTTTTTTCATTAATTACTCCGCCATTTCGGAACCGATTTCCAAAATTCTTGTTTCGTTTGAAAGGAAGGAGAAAATTTTGTGCAGCTGCCATATTGGATTTACATTTTGACAGCAACATTAGTTTTACTATCCTCGAAAACCATGAACACGACACCCATGACGAAAAGTTGAAAATGCTGTGCAGCCGCCATTTTGAATTTACATTTTAACATCACCAATAATAAACCAATACGGTATTTTAGTCTAAATGAGAAATTGAAAACGTTTTTTTTATTTTTATTTATAACTTACGGACTAATTAGATTTTTAATTTTCATACCCTGTCATCATCCCAAATGTAAGTTTGACTTAATAAGGTACTTAAATATTTTTTTATTGCAGTTTAAAGTTTTAACACTACGAAATGTCGCCGCCATGCCAATGACGTCATTACGGTAGTTAACAAAAGTGTCAGCTGTCATGTCAATGTCAACTTAATGGTACACGTACCTAACTTTACTGTATTGTAGTTTACTGAATGAATACTGACGTAATGACGTCACGACTACAAATCAATCATGTCCGTTGCCACGTTTTCGAAAAATACGCGCGAAATTGGAAATTATGATAAAATTGTTCATTTATATGTATTCGTACATAACGCGAGAAAAAAAATACTTTTAATTTTTGAAGGTATATTAGGGCTATACAATTTATTTAAGATACATTTCAAAAATGCATGTAATAGCCTATTGAAATATGTAGATTGATGACCATACAATATTATGGTACTATCGAGCTGGTCTGATGATGGAACCTTGGACTTGAACATAGTAAACATATCTAGTTTGGGCTCCTTACTAAGATCCATTTCTCTTGATAATGAGACATGTATATATTATATAAGTGTGTTTTAAGTTGTTGAAATTAATAAACCCTATGTGTTATATGTACAATAACAAAAACCGACTTCAACCCGCTCTTTTTCGCCTGTGACACAGGAATATTCCTAGTATAGGCAAAATATTTTTAAGATCTTGTCGCTTAATTAAGAATTATTTTTGTACCTATGTTGACCAGTGTTATTATGAATAAAAATTTTATTTATTATTATTATTATTTTTCGGCCGGTTTATTAACATAAAACCTTCTCCTAAGTATAATAAACACTTTTCTGAAAACAGCGTCATACACGGTTCACCCAATTGCGAGATAATCGCGCACAAATAAACAAACTTACATACAGGTCAAACTGTGACCTCCTTCTTTTTTTTATGGCATAAGCCGGTAAACGAGCAGATGGATCACCTGATGGTAAGCTATCAGCGTCGCCCATGGACAGCTGGAACACCAGAGGCGTTACAAGTGCGTCACCGACTTTTTGGGGATTAGGAGTTTGAGGATCGATGGGGATTCAGGGATTGGGGAGATTGGGGAAGGGGAAGGTAATTGGGGCTCCGGTAACCTCACTTACACGACGAAACACAACGCAAGCGTTGCTTCACGTCGGTTTTCTGCTCGGCCGTGGTATAACTCTGGTCGAGCCGGCCCATTCGTGTCGAAGCATGGCTCTCCCACACTTAGCATGGCTCTCCCTACCTGCGTACTTTTTTGAAGTCGGTTAAAAGTAAATATAAATATCGCTTACCTCCTCCGTTTAAACTTCTTGGGACAGAGTTCACATTGGTATCGTTTGTCGTCGTAGTGCGTGGCGCGGCGGTGCGAGTGCAGGTTCGAGCGCTGGGTGAAGCGAGCGCCGCACAACTCGCACGAGAACGGACGCTCGCCTGGGGACACAATCATATTTATTTATTTACATGACAATATAATAGAACTGAGCTATAAAAGTTGACACATTTATCTCCTATCTGACGACTTAGAAGAAACACAAGCACGTTTCTTTCCTTAATCCTGTGGGTGATGTGTTAGTTGTAAAGTATGTGGGTGTTGTAAAGTATATTTTATCTGTGTGTTTGATTCACATCAGTCTGCGCGTGTACGCAGCCGTCCCGCAGGACGCGGCGCGCGGGGAGAGACCAGCGCGAGCGGCGCACGGCCACCATCTTATTGGCTTTGGGATCGTTCCGACACAAGATTACCGTTACAATTCTTTTAATATACCACTTTTTAAATACAGTCCACTAATTTATTGAAGAGACTATCCCCAACAAAATCGATACAGCACAGTTTTAGTTACAGTGCAATAAATTACTGTAGGCCCAATTACCCTCCCCATCCCCAGTCTCCTCAATTCCTGAATCCCCAACAATCCTCAAAATCCTAATCCCCAAATGGCCAGTAACGCACTTGTAACGCCTCTGGTGATCCAGGTGTCCATGGGCGACGCCGATTGCTTTCCATCAGGTGATCCGTCTGCTCGTTTACCGGCTTATGCCTTAAAAAAAAATGATGTTGGTCACGCCAATATTCTGGAATCAATTGCAACCACAAACACTCACTGTAACATTTTTACTCCGGACACACTTCATCAGGACATGAAAAATGTCCTCTATCATCACTATTTGATGTTGGAACTCTTCGTTAATGAAGAAAATTGTGACATACCAGTATGTATCCGAGTATGGTCCCTGAGCTCCGCCCTCCTGGCGAATGCCTTCCCGCAGTGTGTGCATACGAACGCCTTGTTACCCGAGTGGACCACGCCGTGCACTTCTAGGTTGTGTTGTGTACTGAATGCTTTGTCTGCAACGAAAGGAAATATATTTAAGACTAAACATTTCATTAACAACTGTATTTCAATGGCGACAAATTCGAATATTTGTTGTGTCAATCAAAGAACAACACTTGAAGTTAGTTAAAGTACAAATTACTTGCGGTCTATAATGACTAGAACCAGATTAAACATTCTTGGTATTTTACTGATAGAACATGAAGCAATAGAAAATATTAATATTGAAGATTTCGGGGTTCGCAAGTGTCAAAGCTAGAAGGAAGAAATTTTATTTTTTAATAAGCTTCATGGCTGCTTACGTGACTTATCGTTTTCAGGATTAGCCAATTTTATTACATGCATCTATAGTGCTCACCAATACTTTTTTAGATAAAATAACAAGTGACGTCATATTTCGGTCATTCAACCCATTCTAAAACATAATTGTCCAAATATTTGTAATGCTTATATTTTAATAAAACGTAAATGATTATTACTTTTTAATTTAAAAGTTCCTACGAAATTCGCTCCGGGGTACTTATGCTAGCTACGCTACTGAGTATGTGTGATGACTGATGACAATGGTGGTATATACTTACTGCATATATTACAGACGAAGTCTTTGATCCCGGAATGTGTTTTCTCGTGTTGGTTGAGATTTTGTTGAGTAAGGAATGATTTGCCGCACTGACTGCATTTAAACGGACGAGGTCGAACCTGGAAAACGTTGGTAAGTTGATTTTATATATTTCATTGTTATAGATAAGTAGAAAAATTAACATTTTTAACAAAAAACTTCATACAACTTATTATAGAATGAAAAAAAAATTATATCAATCCAAAGATTTTTTTTTTTTTTTTTTTTTTTTTAGAAAACGTTGCCCCACACTAGGATTTTCTCCTGTGTCGTGGGTGCGTTTACAAACATACAAGTTCACATACACAATGACACCCAGACCCGAAACAACAATTTGTGGATCACACAAAGTGTTGTCCCGTGCGGGAATCGAACCC